TGGTACCATAAGCCAATTTGCATTCACTAAGTGTAGAGACAATAGTGTTGCGTCTTCTGATGTTGAGGCCTTCAGCTTCAGAGTCTTCGCCAGACATCACTTAGCAAGTGTTTTTCAGATTCTGCCACTAGAAGCTAGCAACAAAAACTCTCAAAGTGTGCTTAATGTAGAACAGATTCTGATAATAATATTTACAAGTATAAGAACCTGTACACATGTGACACACATCAAATAAACAATTGTTCTTTCAATACTTTATTATCATCAAAATCTAAGGAAAATATGTCATGAACAAATCTTATTCTAACAATTTCTCCATTTTTTATGATGATAAACACAAGTATTTAAAGGACAATGTTAGACAGTTATAATTTTCTTTGCAACATCAAGGTATGAGGTTTGTCAGCTCCCCCTGAGTCTAATAGTTCAAAGCAGAGTTCTGTAGACATCATACTAGGTACTACTCTTAAGAAAAAGTAATTCAGTTTTCTTAGTAACATCAGAGTCTGAGGTTTATAAGCCCCCCTGAGTCAAATAGGTCCCATATTGATGTTTGTAAGCTCCCCCTTAGTTCCATATTTAAGAAAACCAAAAATAATATTTTAAATTCCTTTGGCAACACCAAAATACGAGGTTTGTTAGCTCCTTCAAAGTTTGTAGGCTAAGACTGAGGTTTGTAAGCTCCTCCTTAGTTCTATGTACAAGAAAGTTAAAATGTGTCGCCTAAGTAAGATAACCATAAAAGCATAAATATAAATAACAAAATTGTAAATGAATAATATGTACAACTGAATAGGTGCTCAATGGGTTCGGTTTCTAATTAAATACTTATAATTATTTATCCCTCTTATGTCACACAAAAAAGAATAAAAAGAGTAGAAGAAAAGAATTACAATCATAAATGCATCACATATCATCATTACAGGATTAGTTTCCAAGAAATAGAAAAACGATCAAGTAACACATGGTCATTAAGAATTTTATAGTGCATACCTTAAATTTTTAGTGTTCGTTACTGTTCCAAGAATCAAGCGAGATTAAATCAGAAGTTTAAGTTGCTCAGAAGTCATTATAAAAGTAGTTCAAACCTAGTTAATTTTCATCAACATCCATCAGAGTCATGGAAGCATCAGGATCATAAGACTTCTATAGTAACAAAAATCTCCCAGGGATCTACGAGACATGATGTCCAATACGATAATGTTGCTTCTTCTGATGCTGAGGCTTCCAGCTTCAGAGTCTTTTCCAGACATCACTTAGCAAGTGTTCTTCAGATTCTGCCACCAGAAGCTAGGAATGTAGCAACTCTCAAAGTGTGCTTAATGTAGAACAAATTCTGATAATAATATTTACAAGTATAAGAACCTGCTCACATATAATACGCATCAAATAAACCACTATTCTTTTAATATTTTGTTATCATCAAAACCCAAGAAAAATATGTCATGAACAAATATTGTTCTAACATGAATGATATACAAAAAAGTAAAGTGCATTAAAGTAAATGAACACAATAATGTATACTAGTTCCACTTATCAAAGAAGGGTACATCTAGTCCCCTTACACCCCATGAGATATTTTCACTATTGTTAGATCTTTGTACAAGCCTACTACCAAGACTTCTTCTATAATCTTCTAACAACAAAAAATAATCACACCACTTCTTTGATTTCACAAATACACCAAAAATTTTGAATTTCAAACTGCAACAGATTTTGTTAAGTCAATTAACCATATTGGAATTAAAAACTAGAACAGACCTAACTTAAAAAGTGTTGACAACTTTTTAAAAATAAGTTTTTTATGCCTTTGCTTCAAAGATTTTTATGCATGATAATTTGAGAACTTTAGAGATGAATATGAGTATTATTTTTTGAGCATTTAAAGTTTATACATAATGAATTGCAATTGAGTACCTTAACATCAAGATCAATTTCCTTTACTTCCAAAATATCCATAAGCTTATACATTCTTGATTCTTGATTCCAAACTTTTTCTTCTTTGATATTTATTATTTGATAAGTTTTTTGTCTTCATCAAAACTAAGTTAAGAAGGATAATGAACATCATCTTCACATTATGAACCACGTTAAAGCATTTTTTGTTAGAGAATTTGGAAAATATTTCATCTTCAAATTCTCATTATTAGCTATATCCCCTGTCTCAGCCTGGTGTCTAGCCACATGCTCGACTGTTGACTCATTAGTTTCACCAGACTGCTCCAGGCCAATGACTGTTTTGCAAGAATGACTCCTCCACCACATTATCTAGTTTTACCGAATCTGAATGGAGATCTTGCAGCGATACACGTAAATCAACCACTGGCTTATGTTTTTATAAATGCAATTCTCTCATCTGTTGCAAAAGCGAGAAATTGGGAGTTGTTTCACGCTCATCATCAGAGGCGGAATATCATGCATTGGCCAATGCTACTTGTGAGGTCTAATGATTGTTGTACATTCTCAAGGACATATGGATTTCACACTCCCAACTTGTGAATATCTTTTGTGACAATCATTTCGCAATTCACATTGCCAATACAACAATGTGTATGACAAGAATGGAGACACACAACAAGTACGATAACTCGTACGACAATACCGATGATATGTACAACAAGAACGTTGACACATACACTAATAATGAAAACACCACTGACACATATACTAATGATGATGCAAGAACCGACAAGAATAATGATGAGTATTGAAGAAAAAAATATATATACAAGAGTGAGTAAAAGAGAAGGAGAAAGACTATGAGCGGATGAACAACATATTAAAAATCATATATTTAACAATATATGATCTGAATATGTGTTTATACGTGGGACAATTTTAATCATATAATATAATTGAATTAGATTAAACTTCATTTCTTAACCGAACAAGAAACTCAAATGTGTATTTATACTTAAGAAGAAATATGAAAAGATTTTAATTAATATGATTTTAATTTTAATGTTTACATTCTAACGAATATAATATAACAATAAGGGAGGTATGTGATGCTTGGAAAAATATAGGGGAGGTCAAATTCTTTAAATTGCTTGTAGGCCACTTATTACTGTTTTTCAGAGTTTTGGTTGTAATGTTAGATCCTTTCTTATATTTTTCGGTACATCTTATACTAAATTAACATGTTTTGATAATTAATATATATCTCACTTTAGCTTTTCTAACAAAAAAAATTATTCATATATTTATTATTTATTCTTATCTGCTCACATTGTTCTTGATTTTATTCCGTCTTATGTCCTCACAATATTAAGATATTATTATAAAAATATATTTAAAACAATAAAAATAAAAACTTCATTTTATCTTTGAGTTCATCAAGTTTATTTTATTTATTATTGAGTCTAAAGTAAAGTAATACTTTTTAATGTAATACTTTTTATTATTGGATTTTATTTATTTATTTATTTATGTTTTACCATTTATACGTTTGTATGAATTTAGAAAATAATGTTCTCATTCAACATAATGGTAGCTGTGAAAACAAGCATAATGGTAAAATACACATAGACATACATGTTTAATTTTAAAGGTTAACGTTCAAACTCATTAAAAATATATGAACTGATTTGAATTAATTTTTTTTTTGATGATGTCTAAATTGAATAAAATTGAAAAATAGCATATTAATTTGAATTAGAATGATTGAATATATTAGAAATAAAAGTGAAAAAATATATTTTTTTAAAAATTTAATTGACATATTTATGCAATATATAAAGGAAATACTTTTTTTTGTGTAACTTATTTTTCTATTATTTTTACTATTATTTTATTATATAATTTATTTAATAATTTTTTATTATTAACTTCTACATAACTTCTTATTATTAACTTTCACATATTGTATTTAAATAAAAAGTATCGTTTATATTTTCATTCATGTGTATTAAAAAATCGGACAAACGGGCACGCGAGTGTCTGTCTGGACGCTAGTATTAATAATATAAAGATTTTTTACACTGTTAGTTAATCAGAACCGTTGATTTATTTAAAATACTTGACTTCTATTTTAATTACCTGAAAAATAATACCAACGGATGATGGTGATATATTGACACTGTTAAATTTTTTATACTAACAATGCATAACGATTAATCTCTTTTAAAAAATATCTAATTCACATCAATTAATTTTCTATATTAATAGAAAATTCTTAATTTTTTCATTTTTCTAATTGTGAAGGTTACAAATGATTTTATTTATATTAATTTTCATGATAATGATGATATAAATTATATGAATTAATATCGTTGGTTTAAATAGACGAGGCTACAACTTAGAATTTTGAAAATTCATTATTCAAACTAATTAACATCAAATTTAATTGATTTAATTCAATTTTTTCTTTTTCGAACCAAAAAATATTCGACCCAAACATTATAGCTTGATGCAATAAACATCCCTATTTAATTCTTATATTGATTAAACTCTAAATAAAACACTTTAATTCGTTAATACTCTTAACTAATGATCATTAATTTTATTATTATGACAACAAGTAAAACTCTCTACTTACCCTGGCCCACATAATTGACCCTAAATACACTTCAACTTTTTCTTCATTTTCATTCTATCTGAATCTTTTCTCTCTCTCTCTCTCTCTCTCTCTCTCTCTCTCTCTCTCTCTCTCTCTCTCTCTCTCTCTCTCTCTCTCTCTCTCTCTCTCTCTCTCTCTCTCTCTCTCTCTCTCTCTCTCTCTCTCTCTCTCTCTCTCTCTCTCTCTCTCTCTCTCTCTCTCTCTCTCTGGTTTTTGGACAACTTCTGAGAACCGTTGGATTCTAATCAAACGGTCAAAAGTTGTTGTGAACAACAAGGTATGAAAAACAAAACATCCTAGATTCTTAATTGGGGTTTGGTTTTCTCTGATCAACCAAGTTAAAATTCTTCTCTTTATCACAAACCCATCATTGAAAAGTAGCTAGAATTTTGATTTTGATTGTTTTTGGATTGGTTTTTTGTGGTTTTAGGTGAAACAAAAAATGGATTCAGATAGTACTGTTTCTTCTTTGATCATGATGGATGAAGATTTGCATCCACATCAATTCTCTTCTTCTACTTCTAAGCTACATACCAATGGTACTCCTACTTCTACTAGTGTTCATGAGCTTCTTGAATGTCCTGTTTGTACCAATTCAATGTACCCTCCAATTCATCAGGTTTGTTCTTATGCTCTTTTTTGCTTCATGAGTTGGAATTGGATTATTCTGATCTAGGTGTATGTTTGTTTGTTTGTTTGTTTTTCTTTCTTTTTTGTTTTATTAAGGTTTGATTGCAGTAGAAAGTGTACAATTATGTTTAGGTTTTTTTGGGTTGGATTTTGTTCTGTGGATCTTGTGTTTTTGCTTGTTTATTTAAGGTAAAGTTTTGCTTTTTTTGTAATTAAAAAAAAAAGAAGTAAAATTAAGGTAAAGTTTTATGATTAAGGATAAATGGGATATTGAATTTGTTAGATGTGTTCAAAAATTTTGGAATATATGCCACAAACAACCATCTAGAGTTTTTGGATTCTTGTTGAGCATTTTTCTTTGGTGTTGTATCTATATTGAAACTTTGTCTTACTCTTGATCAGAGAAAACTTTCATCATCATGCTAATTTCTTAAACAATTTTAACTTTTGTTTTTGTAGTGTCACAATGGGCATACGCTATGTTCAACTTGTAAGACAAGGGTTCACAACAGGTGCCCGACATGCAGACAGGAGCTTGGCGATATTCGGTGTTTAGCGTTGGAGAAGATAGCGGAATCACTTGAGCTTCCTTGCAGATACACCTCTGTTGGGTGTCCGGAGATATTTCCTTATTATAGCAAACTCAAACATGAGTCTGTTTGTAACTTCAGACCTTACAACTGTCCTTATGCCGGATCAGACTGTTCTAATGCCGGGGATATTTCGCAACTTGTTGCTCATTTAAGGGATGATCATAGAGTTGATATGCATTCTGGATGCACTTTTAATCATCGTTATGTTAAGTCGAATCCCATGGAAGTAGAAAATGCTACATGGATGTTAACAGTAAGTATATGATGTTTTCTATATAATCCTATGAATTAGAAAAGATAACAAAATGATCTTAGCTCATGGGGCGGGCATTGTGGAATGTTGTCAAATCAGTACCTTACAATGTTGTCAAATATTGGCCATGGCGGATATCATTGGCGGGTTTTTTGCTCTCCGCCATGGCCAAATTTGTGAAGGATGGCGGCATCACTGCTCCATATCTATATGCAGATATGGCGGTGTCATCCATAGGATTTTGGCTCATGGTCTGACATAGATAACACTGGTGGTACCTTGATATCATATTCATTACCTGACATTTGCAGCATAGTTTCCTTGATTTAGGATCTGTTTGGATTGTTCTATTTGAGATTATTTACTGCAATAAGCCCTTGTGATGAGGCTGTTTGGGAGAGCTTGTGGAAATGGTTTATGACATGTCCATAAATTGTTTTCAACTTATTTTCATAAGCTCTCTAGAATAATCACTTAATTAAGTTGTTTATCCAAATAGGGATGCACAAAGGATAGATCAACAACTTAAACTTATTGTTTCTCATTCAAACTGATATGCCGTACTGTTTTGTTGTTTCTGTCAGGTCTTCCACTGTTTTGGACAATACTTCTGTCTCCATTTTGAAGCCTTTCAACTCGGAATGGCTCCAGTTTACATGGCATTCCTCCGTTTCATGGGCGACGAAAGAGACGCCAGAAGCTACAGCTACAGTCTTGAGGTAGGTGGAAGTGGCCGCAAACTAATCTACGAGGGAAGTCCAAGGAGCATTAGAGATAGCCACAAGAAAGTTAGAGACAGTCATGATGGCCTCATCGTATACCGAAACATGGCACTTTTCTTCTCTGGCGGCGATAGGAAAGAGTTGAAGTTACGAGTAACCGGACGGATTTGGAAAGAACAGCAAAACCCTGAAGGTGGAGTCTGCATACCCAACTTGTGTAACTAGATTGTTTGCATGTTTTCCCTCTAGATATAAGTTATGTAGGGGTGATTAATGTTGTTGCAAGTTGTTGATAATTTTGGAAAGTTATTACATTACACCTTAATGAATGGTGATGTTGGTTTCAAGTTTCAACTTACAAAATAACAAGTTTCTTTCCCTTGTCTAACCAAGATATCTGTCATATCTTTGTTCACAAATGTATCATAGGCTTAATTCTTCCAATAGTTTCTTTTATTCTTAGATGCTCTACATTGTTTTGTGAATATTCTAGTGGAAAGTTTTACGTGAGTAACAACACATTACATGTCGAGGCAGATAATAACACATTACATGTTGTCAACTTTGAAATGAATAGTATACAAGATTTTGGGAATGTAGATAACAAGTCCTGTGACAAGGGCTCAGTTAGCTCTTTGGATACTGACTTTGTAGATGCTACCCAAATGATTCATGAAGACAATTCTTTGGAGATTGTTGAAGAAACTGCTTTAGACATAGTTCCACCGGGATGTGCAGCATGACATGCTTTTCCTACAAAACTCGTGGGAAAATATTGAAGATTTGGAAATGATGGCTAACCAAGATAATTTGAATGACTTCCAAACAATCAAGTTAAAGAAGTCCAGAAGTCAGAAATCAAACTCTAAACCCCAATATGGAACAAGATATATAGCTGGTCCTACCAACATGTCCTTATGAAATGCCTCTATTGGAATGTGAGAGGCATTGGTAACTCTCCAACAAAATTATCTTCATAAAGGATTCTCACTGTACATAAACATGTTGTTTTGTTTATTGCTGAGCCTTGGATGTCTTTCAATGATTTTCCTCCTAGGTGGTTGTCTAGACTTGGTTTAAAGTTGTTTAATGTTAATACTAGGATTGACTTATAGCCTAATTTGTGGTATTGCTGTCTTGCTAGTTTAAATCCTGATGTGATCTCAGTTGATGACCAACGAGTTTCTTTTTTGATTAAAGACCAAAACACCATTTGTGGTATCACTGCTGTTTATGCCTCAACCAGTCATGTAACTAGAAGATCTTTGTGGAAGAACCTCAATAATCTCCTTGTAGATCATAATATCCTTTAGGCCTTCATTGGAGACTTCAACTGCATCTTAGGGTCTCATGATCATGATGGTTTTCTTTTACATGCCAGAACCCCTATTGAAGATTTTAACAACTGGACTGATAGCAACCTTTTGCTGCACTTACCAACTATTGGAACATGGTTCACTTGGTCTAATGGTAGGAAGGGCTCTCATCACACTGAAAGAAGACTTGATAGGAGTATTTGCAATCAACTATGGATTGACTCTTGGTCCACAGTCAGCTGCAAAACCCTCCCTAGGCACAGGTCTGACCACCTCCCCATCTTATTGGAGTTCCATAAGAGTGAGGTCAGAGTTGTTTCTCCTTTTAGATTTCTGCAAATGTAGGCCTTCCACCCTTCCTGCAAGGAGGTTATTACTGAATCTTGGAGCACCAGAGTTGTGGGGTGTCCATTGTCTGTTCTCCACAAGAAGCTCCGGATCCTTAAATCAAAGCTTAGAGTTTGGAATGAAGGTGGCTGAAAGTAATCTGACTCAGGCTCAAGAGAAAATCATTGAAGAAGGATACTCTGACAAGCTTGCTGAGCTAGAGAGGTCTGCTCAATCTCAACTTGATTCGGCCCTGTTCATTGAAGAGCTCTTTTGGAATGAAAAAGGTAGGGTGAAATGGAGCTCTGAAGGAGATAAAAACACAAGGTTTTTTCGTAGGGTTGCTAGGATTAAACAAACCACTAGGAGGATTGTTTATTTAAATATTGAGGGTAACATCATCAATGACCAAGAGAAAATTGTTGAGCATGTTGTTTCCTATTATAGGAACCTTTTTAACAATGATTCTATTTTGCTGGAAGAAAACTGATTGAGGAAGTCATGATGAGTGAGCAAGTTAACAATCTTTTAATTATGTTACCTTTTCAAGTGGAAATTCATAACGCAATCATGAGTCTGGACAAAGACTGTAACACTCGAGACCGAAGAGGACAGAGAGGGGTTACATAATTCACATCGGAATGAGAGGGATTTTGAGGATGCACGGGGATCAGACTGCATGGTTGAAAGAAGGCTTATAAGGATTGATTCGTACTACCAATATCAACAAGATGCATCTTCTTTTTGGTAGTCTAACAAATAAGAACTCTATAGTTAAGCGTGCTTGATTTAGAGTAGTATTTGGATGGATGACGTTCTGGGAAGTTTCTCGGAAAGCGTGTGAGTGAGGACAAAACATGCTGCAAAGACCTGTGTTGGTTTGTGGGGTCAGTCGGTAATCATGAAAGAAGTTTGAGGCGTTACAAATGGTATCAGAGTCAGACCTCTTCCAGTACGATGTGGTTCAGGGACGAACCAAGCGGAAACTAGTGGGCAGAGAGTGGTCGCAAAATTCACATCAGAATGAGAGGGATCCTGAGGCTGTGTAGGGATGAAACTGCATGGTTGAAGGAAAGCTTATAAGGATTGATTTGTACTACCTATACCAACAAGATGAATCTTCTTTTCGGTAGCCTAATAAATAAGAACTTCATAATATTTGGATGGGTGACCTTCTCAGAATCTTCTTGGGAAGTGTAACACCCCAAATTTAATTGGAATATTTTAATTAATTAATTTAATTGGTGAAGGTAGTTTGGGGAGGACCAGCTGGAGAAATGTGGACTTGGGAACATGAAGATCAGATGAAGGAGTCGTATCCGACTCTGTTTTCTTGAGGTAATTTTCGAGGACGAAAATTCTTTTAAGTGGGGGAGAGTTGTAACACCCCAAATTTAATTGGAATATTGTAATTAATTTATTTAATTGAGAATATTCATTTTTCGGTGGTTTTGTGGATTATTGAGAATTGTGCATTTTTGGGGTTATTTATTTTGAATAATAGTATGTAATATGAATTTATTAATATTATTATTAATTAAAATAAATATAAGATGAATAAGGGCAATTGGGACACTTCAGAGGAGTTAGTGAGGGTATTATGGAGAAAGCCCAATTGTGAGGCCTAAGACTAGGTTTAACAAAAAGGATATTGGAAAGGGATTAGGATTCATTTGTTAGACCGTGAAAAACATTGAGGCCAGAGCTCTGAGGAGAGGATTGGAGGCAGAAGCTTTGAGAGATTCCTGAAAGATTTGTGAAGGCTTTGAATCGACGATTAAGGTATGAGGAGTATTACCTTCATGATTTTTCATGTGTAACTTTCAATGTATTTAAGGTCGATTTAAGGTTAAAGGGATTTTGAGGGTGGATATGAGAAATAGTGATCTTTGGCCTTCGTGGCCTAAATCTGTTATTGTGAATCTAACCGTGGAATTCATTGGGGAAAAGGAAAAGTTAGGCCTTCGTGGTCAAAACCATGATTTGTTATTTGTCTAACCCTGAAGAGATAGGAATATTAGATAATGAGTAACTATAATATCTTGGGATAATTATAGGGAAATTTGTGATTTAGGGCATGAATATGATACGGGATTGGCCTAATAAACCGTAGGTTTTGTGCCTTTATCGCCGTAAGACCTTAGAGATGATTTAGGGATGTTTTGGGGGGGCATTGGGGAAGTGATTCGTGTGGACATTTGGGTGGATTTAGGTTCTGGTGCGTAGCAGAATTTGTTGTTATCGCACTGTTCGCCAGCGAATAATGCTTTGCCTAATGAACCACGTTGTTCCCAGACTTGCCTAGCGAAGAAACTCTCCCCAGACTCGCCTAGCGAACATGCCAGCGAACGTAGCAGAGTTTCGTGAATGTGGATCGTGTGCAGCGATGCCTTGATGTTTGATTCTGTGATTTCTTTGACGAATTAACATGAGTATGACTGTGAGTTTTATGTGATGTGTACATGATGATTTCTATGATGTATTGATTGGAAAACTGTGATGATATTACCATGACTTTGACGAATTATATGATGACATGAGATATGATGATGATGAATTTGATGAATGATGATGCACCATGTTGTTATTATGAGGATGATTATTGACGTGTGCATCATGCATTCATGTGATCCGGACTTCGGTTCAGGACCTCGATTACTTTGGCTTCAATCCCATTGTGCGGATGTGAAGTGTTTTGATGTGCTCCGGTTCTCAAGTAGAATCGATCCTATTGATGGGAATTTATGAAGGGTTGATGGCCCAATGTCCATCGTGCTGTGATGATTGGTACCGCATGCATTGAGTCTTGTTGCATTTGCATTTATGAGTCATTTGGAATAATTTATGATGTTGTGGCCTTTGAGGCCTATTGAAGGATATCAATGTGTTGAATATGAATATGACGCCGTTTTCTATGTTGATTTTTATACATTGATTATTATGAATCGTTTTACTCACGCTGCCTGTTTGAATGTTACCTCCACGTGGGTAACGTGCAGATGACCAAGTTTAGCCGTGGACGCCTGTTGCACCCCAAAATTTGCCCAACCTTTCTAACCTAGGTTTATGTTTCAATTGCATAGTCATTTGCATTGTCATCATGTACATAGTGTATTCATCTGCATTGCATAGCATGAGCAAGTTATCTTAACAGGGGATCAAGGTGCTATTCCTATCTCAAGAGGTATATCCAAGGGTTTCATTCATATTCAAGTCTACTCAGGTCATTAGGGAAGAATTTGGGCTTTGAAGAGCTGCCAGGTTGATCAGTGAATTCTCTCCTATCTTGAAGCTAGTGGGGGATCATCAGAGGAAATGTGAGCTATGAGCCAAGAGCATGAGGTGTGTATGGATGATATGAAGAGTCTAGAGAATCATCTTTGAGGAGAACCAAGTCATTTGAATGATTGCAAGAGCCTCAGTTGAAGTCAGTCAACTAGGGTCAGCACTGGGTCAATTCTAGGTCAAAGAAGTGTTTTGAAGGGTATCAAGGATCATTTGAAGAATGGGGGATTCATTATTTGCTATAGGGATATGGATATGATGTTGTGATAAAGAAAAATCAAGAGGAGTCAAGGAGAA